ATCGCTGCGCACCCTACCACGAAGATAGGGGCGGAACGCGCTAGGGTCAGAACGTTCGCCGCTGGTCTTAGCAGCAGAAACAGAAGCGCCAGCGGAAGACTCAGTCCCCGATGAAGTATTACGGGGAGGAGGAAAGATAACTTCAAGGGGTGAATAGGAAATGAGAGAATAAAAAGGGTCAAATAGCCTAGATGGCTCACATAAACGAGTCGACTTGGAGGAAGAAGTAGACTCAAACTTGCCATCATCACCGTAAGAATGGGTGGAATCATTCTGACTATCAGAAGCGTCCGACATGACCAAAAAAAGATCTGAACTTGGAAAACAGGGAAAGAACAAGAATTTCCAATAAGGAAACGAAACAAGAAGAAAAGAAAAAGATAAAGGAGCGACAGAAAAGCAAATTAAAAAAACGAATAGTACAGGTATGCGCAGGGGCAAAGAAATTACAAAACAGCAAGACAAGAATTGATCTTTGAACAAAAAGGAAGTGTACAGGAACAAATTAACAACACATAAGGAAAAATGGGACAATCTCTAAGAAAGAATAAACTCAATTCAGCGAAGGAAGTATGAAAATGGCGAAGGAATGGGTAAAAGACGAAACCTTTTTTATGAACGAGCAACAAACAGGGGGCAACCAGAGCGAAATTCACGGCGAACTTGCGGCGAGTGGCACCCGAGCAAAATTGCAGAATTTAGTGTGAAGGAAATAGAGAAAGGAGAAGTTAGAAGTACGAACAAGAGAGAAGCAACTGTGAAATGACAAGAGAGTAAATGAGAGAAGAAAGAGAAAGGAAAATTTTGAAATTAAAATAAGAATGGGAATATAAAAGGAATACAAAGGGAAAAGAAAGGGAATTGAATACCGAACATTAAATGGCAGTTACCTATCCAACTAAGGAAGATAACCACCCACAATGCGCAACCACGTCCAAAAAAAAAAAAAACTTTCTGACGGAATCAAAGCTCCTCGCTCAGCCTCAGCGCGTCGCTTTGAAATAACTTCAGCGAAAGTAATCAAAGCTCCTCGCTCAGCCTCGGCCCGTCACTTAGAAATAACTTCAGCGAAAGTAATCAAAGCTCCTCGCTCAGCCTCAGCCCGTCGCTTTGAAATAAATTCAGCGGGAGTAATCAAAGCTCCTCGCTCAGCCTTAGCTCGTCGCTTTGAAATAACTTCCGCGAGAGTAATTGAAACTCTTCACATGGACAACCCAGCATAACGAATCTCACTGGTAGAACTCTCTGATCCTCAAATCAGCTGAGTACATATGTGAGACTCAAGGGGGCTAGTTGTATGAGGAAGATTTCAGTCAAAAATTCCAGCCAAGTAATGACCTAGAAAAAAGTCAAACACTTAGAAGAGCTGGCATGGGCACTTCATACCACCACTTGAGGGGCTAGTTGCATGGGATAGCTCCAGCAGAGCTCTTTCCATGCTCCTAACCTTATGACAGAAGAGCATCTCCAGTCTGCAAGAGTCGATTCTGAGTACCTCAGACCACCTCTTTAAGGGCTAGTTGTATAGGGTAGCTCCCGCTGAGCTGCCCTGTGCTCCCAGCACCTCTTAAGAGGTGCGCACTCAAGCTAGTCCGGTTCAAGGTCAAGGAAAACCTCCCAAGGGCTCAGCCTCGTGGTTGGCCTCAGCAGGCTCTATCTAGGAGTCAGAGACAGTCTCTTAGGGGCTCAGCTTTGCGGCTGACCTCAGCAAGCCTCAGCCTACAGTACCAAGAATGGAATAAATATAAATAGTAACCCAAATGCAACAAGAAAGGGGATAGACACATACATTTCATGACTTATCCATTATTGTTCATTAAATAACCTTACTAACTTAACCATCGGAAGGGGGTTCTTTGAAGCCACCCCCGAGGATATAACCACCTTTATTGTGCAGGTGACTTCCGACCAACGTCCAAGCCAGACACCCAGCCAGGCTCTGGAGCTACCCCGGAACAAAACTATTTATAGGAGGGTAAAATTTCAGGGGCAATTCTGAAATTTACTCCAGAAGGTAAACAATTAAAATATTGTTCATCCGTGCATGCGTGACACTTGTCACTGGGACCACGTGGCGTGCCACATTACCCTAGTGAGGGGGCAAATGATTTGGGTATTTTTACCCCAACCACGTGAACCAATAAGAGAGTGACACGTGTCACCGAAGGAGGAATCCAAAATGGACCTACCAGGCCTTGACACGTGGCATGCAGATATTCAAAGGGAATGGCAGCCTTCAAGGCCCATTTCCTGAGAACCTGCAAAAGCGGCGCAGCCCACCAAATCTAGGTCAGAGTGACCTAGGTAAGGGCACAATTTCTGATGACCCTATAAATAAGGACATTTACCTCAATTTGGGAACACGTTTATTTATTACATCATTTAATATTCTCCCACAGCACAGAATTCACCTGATCTCGAGATTCGAGAAGATACTTTCACTTTCCGCATTTTACTCTCCTAACACGTACTAACTTAACCGTTGGAGGCGGAACTCCAAACAACCGGACCTTCTGTTTGTTTCAAGTACAGACAACGAGGATCCAGACTTAGTGACATAACTCTCCCGCAGGACATCCAAAAACCTCGAAACAAGTGCCATAAATGACACTCATTAGGTGCAACTCAAAATTAATTATAAGATCTAATCCATTAATAATTTTAGGGCAATTCGAATTTTATGATTACTTATTCATAAACTAATTGAATATTAGAGCATGGATCATAATTAAATCTAAATCATCCAAAGATTAATTTTGGGAAAATTGAAAACAATAATACATCTACCACTTCTGCTCAAACAATTTCACCTCTGAGTAATATGGAAACAATCCTACCTTTACCTCCCATCTGCTCAAAATAGTCCATTGACTGGTTTATTAACTTAATAGCCGATTGTAGAAGGTAAATTGACATGTGTCACCTTCTGATTGGTCTTTTTTACAACATTTAATAAACATAAAAAAATTATTTAAAAAAAATTAGAGCACTTCTTTTCCTCGACCTTAACCCCTCCTCCTATGGGAACCTGTTCCACCCCTTTCTCAAAGGAGAAAGTAGAATAAAGTGAGAAAGTCTCACATGAAAAGGAAAGAGTGTTTTCCCCTTGTTTATATATTGTAGTACTTTAGTACTATTAATACGTGTACTATTTAGTTAAGAAAGTAGGAGTCTGAGAGGTAGGTTTTATACACCACACATACATGCTTTGAGGCGCGTCGAACTTGGGTCTTGGGGAATCCGGTCTGCGGCCGTGGGTGGATTCTTTATCTTTTTGGTACAATTTTATTCTCTTTTGGGTCGATCTTGTTTTTGGAATATTGTAATCAGTTACAATATTTATTCGGCTTGACTGTTGGGATTACTCCTTGATTGCGGGGGCTTCAAACGACTGACTGTTACAGCCATTTTTATTGTCGTCCCCCTTGATTTTTGTTGGTTGTTGGTTTTTGGTTGTTGCCTTCCCTAAACCTTACAAATATATGGTTATTAAGTCTTTCAAAATAGAAAAACAAACACACAAACATTACAAAGCTTTCCCCTTCTCTCTAAATATTCTTATTCGAATTTCTGGTTAGGTATTTTGGATTCCAGTCGGGTTTGTGAGTGCACACAAACTTCGATGTCATGCTTATTCGGAAGGCAACCACTGCACACTACGTCTATTGCACCGAGAGGTAGCGCGAAATCATTGTTTAGGTCAATGGTTCGCCACGACACGACTACTGTCGATTTCCTTCACGTAACACCGAGATAAGTATTTCCTGGTTTATTGCTTATAAACCTATAAATATATATAATAATATAATATAATACTAAAACAAACACCAGGAATGACACATGTCACTTCCTGGTACTGTTTTTTCCTTCTAAATCCCCCTTAGTTTATTTCCTTTTTTTTCTTACTTCTTTTTTTAGCCAATGCCATCAACAACTTTTATATACAGCCTTCGTTTCGTATTAATCGCAACACTTTCCTTTTACATCCGTTTCATATTAATTGCAACACTTTTATATTTGGAAAGGACCCACCATTATTTTATAATTTATCTCTCCCACTAACCTCACTTACACAAATATTTTATTATTTCTCTTTCCTACCAACCCCACACACATTACTTTTTTTTATTATTTCTCTCTTTTACTAACAATACTTTACATTATAAGCCTATAAGCCTAGTTTATAATTTTCTTAAAATTTGAGATAACCTTACAGTTGCAATTAATGTGAAATAGATGAAGTAATAAACACAAAATATTCACCAAATCTTTAAAAGTTTATGCGTTCCTAATCGGTAAATCCTAATGTGTATGAGGCACTAGATCATGGGCTTACCCTCTATAATCCTAATGTGTATGAGGCACTAGATCATGCGTTCCTAAAAACTGTAATAATTTTGATTTACATATTTTTTATTTATATAATAAAATATTTTTCACATATCTATAATTTCGTATCTTAAAATGATTACTTTGTATGTCATATCTACTAATAGCACAATACATCATGTTTTATTCTTTTAGATTATAATAGCAGATATGTTTGATAAATATAACATTATTCTCTTTTTTTTTTCTTTTTAATTTTTAGCTATTTATGTATTATTTATTTAGGATTTTTTAACTATCACATAGTGTATTAATGCATAATAATTTATTTTTTTGACGCAATTTTAATCTTTTCAATATATTAATTAGAATCACATATTTAATTTTTGATTTTTTTTTCAATGCTTTAATTCGAAGAACATAAGAAAATGAAAGGATTATAATAATATAGCTTAACATTTTTTTTTTTTGAGACAATATAGCTTAACATTATAAACCCTTAATCTATAATCATGCACAAGACAATTTGATTAATTAAAATTACATCCATTTTAAATTTTTATTTCCAATATTTTCATCAATAAAACGGGGTTATTATTCATGTCCATTGGGTATAATATTATAAATTTAAAATATTTATTTGGTTAATAAAAAAGAAAATGACACTCATTTTGCATTATATTCTGAATTCCACTATATATGCAAAGTAAGAAGAAAATAGATACAAAATATGTTCAAGTTGTATTTTGTCAATATTATTTTTTAAAAAAAATCTTTTTTCTAAAAAGAGTTTATGTAGTGAAATGACCATGTATGACACGAGACCTACCCTAGTTGTAGAAGACAATGTAACCCGTAATTTAGAATCCCAGCTCACTATGTGGAATGATGAACAACAATAGAAAACAATATCCTCAACGTAACATAATTAACATCCACCAATATCACTCAAATTTTGTTAACTTCAATCCCCAAACTTCATTCCTTTGCTCCCCACAAATGGACAAATGATGAACACAACAACATTCCCACCACCACCTTTCTCCACCCCTTTCTCACTAACCTCCCATACTATCTCTCGCCTCCGAATACCCCCACCTTCCTCTACCACCACCGCTACCGCAGCCAAGTTCACTACCTTCATCCGCGCTGAGCGCACCACAACCACCTCGATCACCAGTAACCCAACTCACTCACAACGTTCAGAAGACCACACTCTTCTCTCCCTCCTTCGCAGCCGAAAAACCGACGAAGCTTATCTTCTTTACTCTCAATCACCTCATCTTCCAAACCCTACTTGCCTTAGCCGCTTAGTCTCTCAGCTTTCCTACCAGAATACCCCTGAATCTTTCTCACGCGCGCAATCCATTATCTCTCGTCTCCGCCATGAACGACAGCTTCATCGCCTTGATTCCAACTCTCTTGGGTTACTTGCTGTCTGTGCTGTCAAATCTGGGCATACCCTTTACGCCATTTCCATTATTAAGTCTATGCTTAGGTCGAATTACCTCCCCCATGTTAAGGCTTGGAGTGCTGTTGTTAGCCGTCTTTCTGGGTCCCCTGATAATGGTCCTAATGATGCTATTCGGCTGTATTATTCGGTTACTAAGCGCATTCGTCGGGTTGAGGATCGAACCCTTGTGGCTCATTCTTGGCCCGACACGGCCGCTTTCAATGCCGTGCTTAATGCCTGTGCTAATCTTGGGGATGTGAAAAAATTCTGCCAACTGTTTGATGAAATGCCTGAATGGGATGTTGTGCCTGATGCTCTGACATATAATGTGGTGATTAAATTATGTGCAAGAATAGATAGAAAAGACTTGCTTGTTTGTGTATTAATAATGATGATTAGTAAAGGTGTTGAGCCTTGTATCACTACTTTGCATTCTCTTGTTGCTGCTTATGTAGGATTTGGTGATTTAGGAACTGCTGAGCGGTTGGTTCAGGCGTTGCGCGAAGGGAGGAGGGATCTTTGTAGGATTCTTAAGGACATAAATTTAGCTAAAATTGATGGTGTGGATGATGAGATAGAAATCAAGCACGAAAATGATGATATTGTAATCAAGCATGAAAATGATGGGTTTGAAAAGCTAATTCCCAAGTCGATCATTGATGATTCAGAACCTCCATTACTGCCAAGAGTTTATTCGCCGGATTCAAGGATATACACAACATTGATGAAGGGTTATATGAAGGCAGGGAGATTGTCTGACACGGTGCGAATGCTTGAGGCAATGAGGCGTCAGGAGGATAGTGCTAGCCACCCTGATCATGTTTCATATACTACAGTTATATCTGCACTTGTAAAAGCAGGGTCAATGGACAAGGCTAGGCAAGTCCTGTATGAGATGACAAGGATTGGCGTACCTGCTAATTTGGTCACCTACAATATTCTACTGAAGGGTTATTGCCAACAGCTGCAGGTTGATAGAGCAAAGGAACTGATTAAGGAGATGACTGATGTTGTCGGGATATTGCCCGATGTAGTTTCATACAATACATTGATTGATGGGTGCATATTGGTGGATGATAGTGCGGGAGCTCTTGCATACTTTAATGAGATGAGGGCTCGAGGAATTGCTCCTACAAAGATTAGTTACACTACTTTGATGAAGGCTTTTGCCTTATCTGGGCAACCGAAATTAGCAAATAAGGTGTTTGAGGAAATGTTGAAGGATCCTAGAGTAAAAGTTGATCAAGTGGCATGGAATATGTTGGTTGAAGGGTATTGTAGGATGGGTTTAATTGAGGAAGGCAAGAGTGTGGTTGAAAGAATGAGGGAGCATGGGTTTCATCCAAATGTGGCCACCTATGGCAGCCTTGCTAACGGCATAGCATTGGCTAGGAAGCCTGGTGAAGCATTACTTCTTTGGAATGAAGTAAAGGAGAGATGTGCTCCAAAAAGAGACGATGATGCAAACAATTCTTCATTGCCACCACCAATAAAACCTGATGAAGGGCTACTAGATACTTTGGCCGACATATGTGTAAGAGCAGCCTTCTTTAGGAAAGCTTTGGAGATTGTTGCTTGCATGGAAGAGAATGGAATCTCTCCAAATAAGACCAAATTTACGAGGATTTATGTTGAAATGCACTCAAGGATGTTTACCAGTAAGCATGCATCCAAAGCCAGGCAAGATAGAAGACGAGAGAAAAAGAGAGCTGCAGAAGCTTTCAAGTTTTGGTTAGGATTGCCAAATGAATATTATGCTACTGAATGGAGTCTAAATCCACCCGGCAGACAAGATCAGTATGAATCCGATTCTATATGAACTGGATGCAGGGGATGGCATTGCTGAACACCGCTGACAAAGTTGCTGTATTAAAAACACTAAACATCTTTAAAAATGGAACCTCAAGGCCAGGTCTGGTTTTTGCTGAAGACAGCTGGCAAAGTTATTATATAAAGCTGTATTTAAAATTCGAAAACATCCGACATAATGAACCTTAAGGCCTGGTTTTGCAGAAGACATCTACCTGACAAAGTTAATATCTGAAGCTGTGAAGTTAAAACTTAGGTATCATCAGCTAGTAAATTTGTGTAATAGGTTTTCATCGTGTATCATATGTACAGCTTCTAGAACTTAAGACACTTCTACGAATCAATGTAATTTGATACAATTGATTTGTACTTTTTGTACAAACTCCGTGCTAGAATGAAATTACAAGTGATATGCATATCCCTTGTATTTATATAAGCGATATGCTTATGCTTCATATTCATACAAGTGATATGCTTATGCTTATGCGGTTATGCCTCATATTGCTGTAGCTTCTTTCCAACCTTACACTCATATAATAGAAGCAAGTGTAATTTGATTCCAACATGAATTGTAAAAAGTGTACAAACCAAAGGTAAAAATGACGATACCAATGATACACATTGATAGATGTGTCAACAATCACACCCGTTCACTTTCAATATTAAATCTACACCATTTATTTAGTTGACAATTTTTACACTTAATTTAAGTTAAAAATTATAAACAATAGTTAAAAAAATTTAAAATATATATATATTAGAAACATGTGCAATAAGTTAGTTATCCTGTTAAATGATTAAGTCCCTTTGTTCTTTGTAAAAAAAAATGGTTAGTTATCCGACTTACCCCTTCCCTTTCAATTGGAAGCATAACAGAAGTTGTTTGCCTATCTTGACACCATGCATTTCATCTACATCGTTTTAATTCATGAATTTCTACTAGTTTAGAGTTAAACAATTGTCAAAATTCAACAATTGTAAGCTTTGATAGGACTAAGATTCATTTGCAGGTTAGCTAAAGTGTTGAGCTTTCTAAGGTGCTTTGATAGAATCAATAATCGTTTGATGATAAGTTTGGAATTATAGCTTTTTTTTAAATGGCTGCTTTAATGTTGTTTATAGTTTCAAAATTTGAGTAATTGACTTGTCTAAAAACAATACTCCCTCCAAATTTTATTACTTGCTCCAATTCTCCCAAACACATATGCTAATGCAAATCTTTTATCGGTAATATCTTTAATTATCAATAAATATAAATTATAATAATTGAATATTAATAATCTATTGGCTGTGACAATTCCAACAAGTACCAACAACACTATTTTTTTTAATGTATAAATGACATACATAAGTCAAAGTAGGTCAAATGAATAGTGCAAAAAGTACAAATGAAGCAAGTTACAAAATACAGAGAGAGTATTAAGGTCAAATAATTGAGTAAATTGTGTGCCATTGGAAGGTTAAAAACCATTAAACCATTGAAAGGTACCATCTACGTGTTGGTAAAAACAAGAAAGCGGGGCACAATATAGTTGACATTGTTTACAAACATGTCATGGTATATCTGTATATGTTAATCAATACAGAGTAATCGAGTATTGATTAGTACTTCCTCATACCAGTGATGTGCTTATGCTTTCAGTTCGTAGAAAACTGTCACACTTTTCTATGACATGTAGCTGTATTTTGACAAAACCAGAAGTACAATATTGAAGATAACCTGCAAATATCCTTCTGCCCCATGTCTAGACCCTGGACCTTGATACCTGACTCCTTGTGTATGACGATGAAGGCAGCTGTAATAAGAGGAAAACTATTACATACATTGCAACTCCAATAAATATAAGAAGTTTAATGATCAATTAGTATATCATAATCCATAACTAACATCATGTCTATGTAAGGCACATTAAGGAACTAGTAAGCAACAAATCAGTGACTGCATCATCAATATATGACTAGCACACAAATGTAGCACCATTGTCATTTGTGGAACATTGACTAATGTGAGACTAAACTTCAACCTTCACAGTTTTTGTATAACAGTAACTATCATATATGTGCAACTCCACGATAATCATAGGAAGTTTAATGACCAACTACTGCTGTAATTGATCGATCATAATCCATAACCACCATCACGTCTATGCAAGGCAGAGAAAATCAGCCAAGTCCTTAAACAATGAAATTCCAGTGACTGCTAGAATTCTAACCACATTAAGGCACTAGTAAGCAACAAATCAATGACTGTGTATCATCAATTTATAACTAGCACACAAAAGTGGGACCATTGTGATTTGTGGAACATTGACTAATGTGGGACTAAACTTCACCCCTCACGTTTTTTTGGTCCAATAGTTGTGGGCCACAAACTTGGAAGTAGGGGGAGAGGTAAAGAAATCCCCACCTCTACTCTTTAACGTTGTGTCAAGCCTAGCTTGGTAACCTTATAAAACATTTACCAATCACAGTATATATATGTAGGCACTGTTCAAATAGTGTAGTGTATAAATACCTGGTATGTTCTGGGTCCCTTTTTTATCAAAAAACCAACAGTATTCAAATTTTCAACAAAGACATCTATATCAGGAACTCTGAGACCAATCATATCCGCCAAACCGTATATTTCCTGAAAACATGTGAAAATATACAGGTCAATGATCACAAGCAGCAGCAGGATCAGTTTGCAACCAAGCAAAGAAAAAAAATGCAAACGAGGAAGATAGAAAAACAAATAAACATACGGATACTGAAAAACAATCTTTCTGGTCCAATTCTGATTGCTTATTGAGAGCACTCAAGAATCGCTTTGCTTCCTTCTGTTGACTCATGCCTCCACTACGTGCAAAATCAATAACTCCATGTTCATCAGCATACTTATCATACAGGGATTCTTTCATGATTTCAACAACATCCTGCAATCAGTTTTTCAGAAAGGCATAACTTATTATGGGAAAAGAAGGAAAAGGAACAACCATATCCTTGCAATCTATGCAGGCAAATACAGTCAGAAGAATCTACTCAATACACACAAAAAATCACAGTGCCCTTCCTAACCAAGAGTTGGAATAAATGGTTAGCTCTTGATTTTTTTAACTACAGTCCAACTTTAAATTGAATTAAGGTCACATATCCAAAGTAACTATCAGCCCATTTGGTAAGTAGAATTAAACGGTGATGATAGGAATGAATTAGGTGTATTTTTTTTTTTTTAAAGCAAAAAAATAAAATAAAAGGTGTCATCCTAATGCCTTTATAACAACAATTTCAGACCTTTGTGATACCATTCCCCGAATGGTAATTGATGGTAGTGAAAACTTATTAAAAAAGAACATATACTTTGAGGTGAAGCAGCTTTACCATGATATTCTTCACAATTTTTTACATTCAAAATCATTCCTATTACCACTTACCAAACGGGCTCTGTATAATAATAAGGTGCTCTATTTTAGTATGAATTAGTTATACACAACAAAATCTGCAAGTGAAAAAGGGTGTCTTGAGTTTGAAAATTTCAGCAAGCCATATGCTAAAGACTTTCATGTTTGTATGTTTGTTAATAATCTAACCAGATTGTTACTAGTTCCAAGAAGCACAAATATGAGGAGATTTCCTAGAAGTAATTACTAATCTAAGACCTGATTTGGTTTTATAACCACTAACTACCAGTCTCCAAATTATATCACTTAGTAGTATATTTTACTATTTCTATGGTTTTTATAGACAGTTTAAGAAAGTAGTAGTCATATATTAGTGTAAGAACAAATTTATTCCTGTGCTATAATTACCAAAGCATCCTGTTCAGTTATTTCATCCCTCAAGTCTACCCTAGCACGAGCCTCTGCCAGCCTTACTAGACTTTCTAACTGCCTTGCAGTTATGGGAGTACCATCAGCTGAAGTGTTACGATCTCTCAACCGTAAATAGAAATTCTGAAGAATCTCTGCTGCTGACCTTGACATCCTGATCAAAACAAGTTCACACACAGAATCAGGTGAATAAAGCTCATGAGTAGAAGTAACCAGGAGGGTTGTTTGACTCACTTCGGAAAGACATAAGCTCTTGCATAAGCAATATATTTTCGTAGAAGTGGAGCAGGTAGTGGGACGAATTCACTATCTTTCCTAGGATCCAGTCTCAACCTTGAAACCAATGACTCACTTGTAGCACTAACAACTATTTGTCCAATACTCTGTGATGCTGCATTTAGAAGAACAGTTGTTAGTATCAACATATCAGTTGAGAACAATAGTATCAGCTTAAGAAGGAATATCACCTCTACAATGTCTCTTGACTGAGGAGGAATTATCTCCGTAACCAGAATGAAGCTGCAAGAGACTACATTTTATCATGTTCGTGTTTTTGAAAAGACGACGATGGAAATATCCTTAATAGAAGGTGGGGAGGGTTGAGAGTTTTGAGACTAATTACTAGCAAATGAATTTTCCATTATGCATTATATACCACATAAAAACCAGCATACAAGTTCAAACTTGGCTTGACAACATTACATACCGGCATAAAGGACATAAAACTACCTACCTTATTCATTATTGGATGCAATCCTTGAGAGCTTCAACTAATATAAAAATCGTTATTGTTGGTATCTGTAGACACCTAAAAATGTCTACTCGATCGAAACCCGATGATGAGTAAAAATTTTCATCCCCATTTGGTTCGAGTAGAGTATTGATTAAAAGGAGCACTTGATTTTATTTAATATACCCAGTTCATTTTATTTCCCTAGCCCATTCTTATTTCCATTAAGCTCAAACCTTTTATATAACCCTTTACCTTTTTTTCCTAGCCCAAAATCCACATACCTTAGCCAGATTTTCCCTTTTCATAACTGCAGTCCGAAACCGAACAAATCTGACTTTTGTGGTTCATAATTATTATCCAAATATTACATCGTTGGATCTTGAAATAAGCTTTTCAATGATATATTATAAGCCCAATTTCGATTTGAAACGAAAAAGATAAGATCGAAATACTAAACTCGGTCCAAAACCGAAACCCTTGCACTATTTTGACCATATCTTTAAATCTAGAAAAGATATTGAGCTGATTCCAATTGAATTAGAAAGTAACTTCTAGAGCTTTCCAACGAGATATTATTTGCCTTAATCCGAGTTCGGCATCAAAAATTATGAGAAAAACAAAAACCGCAAAAACCAAGAGTGTCGCGCCAAATATCGTCGCACCAAGTCCTTCCGCGTGGCGCCAATCGTTTTTGTGTTGCGCAAGCTCCCCCGCTCCCGCCCCCGTAAATTCTATCCTTTTTCTGACTTCAGATCTATAAATACCATAATCTTTCGAGAGTTAAACACCATTTTAACTCTCAATTCCTCTCTAATTCTCTCTTTTCTCAATCTTCTCCATTTTTATCTTTCACCATTCTTCCTCCTAGTGTTCCTAGACATCAATACTACACTCGAAGCTTTATCGGCGGTCCACAGCGTGAAAAGTCAATCATAAACCTTATCCATTTCAATTTATTAATTGTATTGAAGTTTACTAACGATTTATTCATGATATAGTTGCAAAGTTTTGAGATCGACGTAAGTACTCTTAATTATTCTTTGCAAAAATTGCCTAGAATAATCAAACATTTGCTCCATTCTCCCAAAATAATCCCACCTTTTGATTATTCCAGATTAATCCAACCTTTTACCTAAGCAACAGGGTTGGTTTTTTTTTTTTTTTTTTTTTTTTTTTTTTTTTTGAAGAAAGGTTAATTTTTTTTTTTTTACCACTTTAGACCACCCAACCTCCATTAACCTTGAGCAATCATCAATGGCGGGATTCACTAGATTCCCTTCACCAACACTTCTTAAACCTCTTCCTCTCTATCTCTCTCCTCATTTTCTCTCTCCTCCTCTTCCCTTACCCACGCCGACCACCATGATCCACCCAGCCACCCACACCGGCAACTACATATACCTATTACTAAAGTCAGCCCCGTCACTCAAATCCTCTCACATTGTCGTCGTACTCAGCCATTTCCATCAAAAGCAACCATCTCACAATCACTCTTATATCTCACAAAAATCGATGGCTAAAATTCATTCAATTTCAAAAGGGGCATAGGTGGTGGTAGGATAGAAAGAAGAAGGGGTATGGGGAAGCTATGGGGGGAACAAATACCATGGGAGGTTAGGAGAAGGAAAAAAGGCAGGGAGAAGAGAGGGAAAGCATAGGGATGGTATTTTTTGGGGATCGTGCAGTGCCCTTCGTGGTGGTGGGGTGAGGCCATGAGGGTGCGTGGATGAGGGGTTTTGTGGTGGTTGTTGTGGTTCATGGTGATGTTGGTGTTTTTGTTGGTTGGTAATTGAGAGGGGAGGGGGAAAATGGTGGTAATGGAGGAAGAAAGGCCATGTAAAATTGGAAAGGAGAGGAGAAAGAAAGGAGCAAGAAGAGTGATGCTGGGGAGGAGAGAGAAAGTACTAGGAGGGAGTTTTTTTTCATTTATTTAATTTAAAATTAAAAATATATTGTAAATTTATAAAATTAATATAAAATTAAATAAACCATTCACGAAGGGCAACGTAAGATAGGCTACCTGGGGGTTGATATGGGAAGATGGGGTAAAAAGTTGGATTATTCTGAAATAATCCAAAGGTGAGATTATTTTAGGAGAACCGGGCAAAGGTTAGATTATTTAAAGTAATTTTTCCTTATTCTTATAGTTTAATTATTTCTACAATATTTGTTCTTACTAGATCATGTTTAGGGATTGGTTTTTAATTATTAGTATCATGTTTATGCGTTTTATTAATTAGGTTAGTATCATGCCTAGGGTTGTATTAATAATTATTTAATATCATGTTTAGGATGCTTTAATTCATTTTTTTAATTATTATCAAGTTGCTTCTAATATTTTTATGCATGTTTTTACTTGATTATTCTACTTATTAAAGCCAATACGGGCGGAATTGACTTCATGACTCAATTTCGTACCATCATCCCCGAATATCCAGATTATGGAGTTCGTAACCTCATGAATTATGAATGGGGTGTAATCTTTATGGATCAAATCGTTGTTGCCTTTCAGTTTATCCCTTTTCGTGGTTGCCTTAAATGATCCATGAACGGTTTACAAGTTCCTTAAAAACTTGTTAGCAGCTCCTTACTTTTTCGTCCCTAATCGTATAATTATTAAATCCAATTTCCTATGATTGCCAAAAGCATTTTCACAACATGCTCTATTTAGGCGGACTTCGAGCGATGCCTACAGTATATGTTCATCATATATTATGCATAGAAAGAACAGAGTCTAGATAAAAAAAAAAAAAAATAAATAAAAAATAAAAAATAAAAAATAAAAAATAAAAAATTGAAGCTTTAACCTTCTGTTATTAATTATTACTTTTGTTAGTTAATACTTTAGTATATTGAATGTTTTAATATTGAGAAGTCAGCTATAACTTTAGATTCATACCCATAGTAGGAAAGTTGTAAGAGAATTTTGATGGTATGACTTTAGAATACTTGCAAACAATTTGGGAACTAGTAGGGAAAAAAAATACACAAACCCACTCAATATGGACGAAGAGATTACATACAAGAGCACTACATGATTACAAAATTTTCAAGTTTTCATGTGCTTGCAAATCTGTTGTTATAAATATAGTCGGTCCTTTCAATTTAACATCATCAAAGATAGACAAAAGGGCCATGAAAAACTAATCAGTTACTGAACTCACAGCAGTCATTAACAAAATACTAAATAAATAACAGAAGCCTGACAAAACAGATAGCAATCTGTTGTTTAATTTTAAATACATCAGACCTGAAGATAGCATGATCTTTCAGAAACAACAAGTCTTTTAATATCTTTGCATGACTGACATACAAATGCAATTTGTGTAAATCTTGCACAATAATTTGAAATTGTTTTTTAACTGAAAAGTTCATCTTTTATTTGACATTCTGTGGATTTTTAAGACCCTCAAGAATCACAGCAGCAAAAAACAGATTTAGAGCATTTTTTTTTAAAAAAATAAACAAAAACTTGTGTGTACAGTACTTACAGCCATAATGTGCTCAGAAAGCCGTTTATCCATGTTTTCATCGGGTTTATCCACCAATATGAAAACCAAATCAAATCGCGAAAGCAGAGGAGAACTCATCTTCAAGTTTTCATTCACCGTTTTAGCACGACTGTAAAACCACATTTATGAGATGTTAGCAAAACAAAATATTTAGGGGTGACTAGACCTAATATCTAGCTTGCATAAAGTTTGACTTCCAGTTTTTTGTATAAGACTACCAAGTACTAAGAGATTCAATCACCTAAATATTTAATTTTCTATAGTTATTGACTTGAATATTTGAATAACGTATTAGTAAGTTGCAGAAATGAAATATATTAGTAATTACTACTAAACTATTTTGCAAGATTTTAAGAATTTAGTTATGGCTTGTAAAATGGAGAAGGTTCCTTAAAATAAAAATAAAAAAATAAAAACCTTTTTGTGTAAGCAAATTCTTTCAGACATGAACGAACTTTTGGATTGAAATCACATGTTATCTTATCGATTGATAGTGCTGAAAATGCTGCATATATACAAATACAATCCCCCTTCCTCTCTGGCCCAACCAGGATAACATTATGAAATGATACTATCTGACAATTGATGTCATATGATGGTATTACAGAATGTATATAATGATGATCTCCCTTAGATCTGAATTGAGGCAAGATTGGGTACGGTAAATAGGAGCTTGAGGAAAAGCAAATACATAATTTTGGCACTGCTATAAGAAGCTATCATGATAAATATACACGATTTGTAACATTAAGTAATCATTTCAGCATGTAAAGCAAGCCCTTTTTCTTTTTCACTTTAGGGGTCACTTTGCTTGGTAAGAATTGCCCATACTGTAACTGAGATAGCAGAATCTTATTTATAAGAACCTGGAAAGGATAAAGGTGGTAACAAACACATTTGTTAGAGGTTCCTGCAGTATGCTTAACTGATTTCATCCGCCAGTCTTTGGCATCATATCAGGCACACTGCATACAAGGCCATTCAGTTGTCCACACAGCCTGCTAGCCAGTGAACAAAGACCTATTATTGTTTACTCCAGTGGGCTCCTCTTCGCATGTTTACAAGTACCTTTTATCTTCAGAGACCCTCCAGGTAATACTACGTATAACCATTTGATGAAGTTTATGTTCCGATCAAGAGGAGAAGAATCAGACAAACTGGAGGAAGGGTTAAGCAAACAAAGAGAAGGCTTGGTTGTGACAACTCTTTTTTTTTTATTTGTTTTAGTGCCAAAGAATTAGTGATTTGGATTATATGGCAAAAATATAAGGTTTGAATTAACAGTGTGATTGGATCGGGAAATCAGGAAGGAGAGAGACAGCAAAGTGAGGTATAGGAAGTTAGAAAATTATCTCTTGTTTGGATAAGCAAGAGGAAGGAAAGGGAAGGGAAAATCATCAACACAATATTCTTCTTCTTTAAAGAGAAAAAAGTAGATCAAAGGAACTTTGTATGAATCAATTGCATCTCACTAATTGACAAAGGCAAATCAAACAATCGCAATTGAATACTAAAGAGATGAAGCAAATAAATAAAATTAGAAAACCAATATGCAAGTTTTTGAGTGAATATTTGAGGACATAGAGAGAACTTAGATTATAACCCTAGGATAAATTAGGGACTTTTTTCTCCAATATTACAGACTTACAGTAGAGAGAGGAATGGAGCAGAAAACAAAAAGTAATGAAAAAGATAGAGTTGAAATAGTGTAAAATTACCATTACTTCCATTGTTGTTCACTAGAAAAAAGTATAGGAGAGAAAAATTCAAGACCATAAAGACTGACTTACACAAAAATATCATATTTGTTACAAATATTTCCAAATTTAGAGAGATTTGATCCTTAAGCAATGAGGGGAAAATTTTGGGAAAATTTTCCTTTCAGTCCCCTCCTCTCCACTTCCCTAACTCCCTGCAATTGCTATCCAAAAAGTAGAAAATGTATCCCTCCGTTTGCTTGTATCCAAATTCCAAACGTGTAAGGGATATAGATATAGCTCAAAATGCATGAGATTGTTGTCTTATGAATCTCTTCAAATAAAGTAAACTTTAAGGCCATGAAACTAAACAGTGCATCTTTATTTTGTTTTATCCAAATGGTGTTAGCTTATACAGGTATAGAAGACAGATTTAAAGTAACTATTTCTTTAATCACATAAAAGAATATGTGGAAAGTTTCCCCCTATTCTCTTATTTCATTATCTAACATACAGAGAAGTAAAGGAAGTGCTACTCTTGAAAAATAAACCTTGTCATTCAATTCCCAAATATAGTAGTGTGTAATTGACTGAACACCTACTTCACTCACTCACACATAGATTTCACAGTACGAAAAGAAAAGATAGCAAGAAAAATATGAAGCCTTAATTGAAATTAACAGTCTGTTTACAAAATCAGTAGCCTGGGGCTACCACTAGCCAATTCTCCAAATTGGTGACCTTAGGTCACAAATCTCCTAACGACAACACTTATAATCTACCTGCTTTCTCTCTCGCTCTCTCCCTTTTTATTCTTACTCTCATTCTCTAGGTTGGTTCTAGTCTTCACTCACAGAGGTTATGAGTTGATTATAGGGATCTGGATAAGAAACAAAGTAAAAGAAAAGTTTTCTATACCTGTTGCATGTGAATCTAGTTCAATTGAGGGTGCAAAAGAAGATATATCATATATGCAAGACTGCATTTTAAACCAAAATGGACATTATGAATTTTTGGTAATGTTATTTGATCTCACAAACTATATCTTTAAGAATTTTCTTAAATTATGTAATATTGTATTCCATGATACCATTGGATCTCACAAATCATATATTGATGTTCAGGAAAAGGTACAGAAACAGTAAATGGCCAATTCCTAAATATGTGAAAGATCTGAGGTGTTTTCTTCGGTTACAGGCTATTATAGAAAATTAATCAAATTTTATGCTGGGATTATTAAACCTAGTACTCAGATTTTTAAGGAAAGGAGGATTTAATTGGTCTAGTCAATCTTTTGAAGCATTAGTACTGGATTTGCTTTGTTTCTCCAAGCCTTTCACTACTGAGACAGATCCTTTAGCCTTCTAGGGTTTGCACTAGACATGGAAAAAGTTAAAATTGGCTTATACAACAGAAGAAATATAACACCATTCTAACAGTTCTGGTCCCCCAAAGCCCAAAATCATGGGTTTTGACCATGAAATTCTGCACAAAAGTGAGAGTGAGAATCTTGTAGCTGATGCTCTATCTAGGGTATCGTGTTTTTGTCCTTATTAGTATTACATTTTAATTTACAGTCTCTAATACATGCAAGTTTCACTTATAAAGGGCACAAATCAGTATGAAGAAATAGGCTCACATGAACAGATCAGAAGTTTTAACATTGGAAAGTGGGTATGGTTGAGTTCTATAGCAAAAGTCTTGAAAGGTAAAATGAAAAGTTGGCTTCCAGGTTCTTAAGCCCATCATAGATCATTGAGAAGGTTGGAATAGTGGCCTACAAATTAAAACTTTAAAAGCCTTACAACTTCCTAAAATTGCTCAACTCCATCCAGTGTTCCATGTGCCACAATTAAAAAGCTATTAATGACACTTTATTTTATGTATCTCACATCACAGCTTGGTTTCATAACAAAAATTTTAGTTCAAGCAAACACCCTTGAAATAAGAGTATTTAAGCATAGGAAAAAGGCACAAGTCCAGTCTCTAATTCAACTGGAAGGTTGTCCTGAAACAAAAGCCAATCAGAAACCAGCTGAGCCTTTGCAGAACAGTACCCTGAGTTAACCTTACAATTCTTTTCTTTCAAGGGAAATTTAAATAATACTTGTAGCTTTTATAAAGTCAGTTAGAATATGAATTTTGGTTAGAAAGGAAGTTGAGCTTGACCGTTTGTTGTGTTTTCATTTTTGTTAAAAAATCTCCAACACACTACTAAAAAACACATTTAATAATATTTTACGAGTGCATTTTGGATGTATTTGCTAAGCCTACACTTAATATCTTTTCTTTTACAGTCATTTACTTTCAACCCTCAATTTCAAAGAGGATAAATTGCTAAGAAAATTTCATGAATAGGTTTATGTAATAATGTAATAAAAAAGCATCAAATAAGGATGGTACTGAGAAAACATAATTAAGGATATACTTGTAATGACCGCCAACAGGGTTTGCTGCAGCTAAGATAGAAGTGCGTGCTGATAGACTCGCCACAAGTCCTGCCTTCGCAACAGAGACACACTGTTGCTCCATTGCTTCCAGCAGAGCCTAACACAAAGACCATTAAACAGTCAAATAAAGCTAACATGTATCATTAATAGTTTGCAACAACAGGAGAAAAGAGGCCGGGACCCAAGGAAACCTGATGCTCAGCAGACATCTTGTCAAATTCATCAATGCAACACAGACCACGGTCTGCTAGGACAACAGCGCCTACAAAAATTAGATAGCCACTTTCAGAGTTTCAGCACAAGCATACTTCAGACACTTAATATAATGACACAATTTGAGAGTGAGTATGAAACATTAATAACTTTTTAATCCTCTGTTCATGGAATTGTAAACTAACACTTAAATATAATAATCAAAGAAGCACCCCATTCCACATTCCATTACTCATCATTCATTCATAAGGCATCAGGGAGACAAATAATGACATTATATGTCAAGATTTGGTGACTAAAGTGGAGAGCACATTTAAAATTTGTGCAAACAAACAAGTACCGTCAAACTTGAACAAAATTGTTGAGCAACAATCAGACCATTCATCCTCCAAAAGGCAGAGTATTGGTAAATTATTTTGACTATTTTTTTCTTTATTCTGTTTCTAAAACGTAAAGTTTTGCTGGGCAATTAATCAAGTAATATTAACATACTAATTGTGACAGAGATAAAGATAGTACAGAGTATGCTGCAATAATATGAAAGAAAATCAACGTAGTTATCTGAGGTAACGAGGGTTAGATAGCTCAAACACCTCAACAGAAAGCACCAGATACAGACATGTTGAAGGATTAAAAAAAAAAAAAAAAAAGATGGTAGCAAGAGAAGGTACAAATTAAGAATAACAGGAAGTAATGAACTTCCTATTATATTCTCACTGAGGATATGGCCCAGATAGGCTGTTGCGCTGCTTAACGGTCTGGTTAGAGAGCCAAACAAAGTGGTGGGCGTCTGCCCTTCCCTTTCCATCCCCGCTGCTGTACAGCTCCACCTCCAACTTAAAAATAATATTATATATTGCATAATTCTAAATTATCCTACAATAACTCTAATATGCTTTAAACAGGAACTGGGACTTTTGAAAAGCCTCCCACAAGCATTGACTGTTTAACAACATGGAAATTTAGGCAGTATGTGCTGGTGGACCTCCCAAAATATCCATTGTTCCACAATAAATGGAGTTTTTTTTTCTTTTCTTTTTTTTTTTTTTTTTTTTTTTTGAAAAAATGCCCACAACAGCACAAACTACTATGGATGTAGCACAAACTTTAACCAAGGGTGTACACAATGACATAAACTACACTACTGAAGCATCAATGGTTCGAGATTAATGTCACCCTTTGCCATCAATAGTGTAGTTTATGTCATTTCATGCACCCTTGGTCAAAATTTGTGATGCTATTTGCAAACACAATAGTTTGTGCTATTGTGTGCACCTTAAGCATCGTTGGTGCTGTGCGGGCCAATCTTTCCTTTTTAAATAGGCAATTAAAAGAAAATCTAAAGATACAAGTCATACAACAAGAAAAGACAAAAGATTACAAAGAGATTAAATTTTGCTCTTGACACCCTAAAGAACCAATATGAAGTCAGTAGTCAGGTCCTCCCACCTTCTAGAAAGGGTGAAAGATCTGAATTCTTCATCTTCTCCAATCCCAAAACAGACAAAACAAACAAGCTCAATGACTTATGTACTTTTTCGTCCTAACACCACAACCACATGCCACATTAAACATAATTTCATGAACTACAGCTACAGTTGTCAGGAATTTTCATTGAAGACTGTATTGTTCCCTTGGAAATGGAGTGCTAGATTAGAGAAAAATGAGTTCAGCAATATCTTCTTGCAGTACGCATCACATATAAAACTTATTGTTTACACCTTTTCAAATTTATCGCAAACTTTTTGTGATTTGCTGTCACCACAATTCACAAATGCAATAAAAAAAATAGACAAGCTAGTTTCTATTATTTGTCCGATGTTAATTGTCATCAAGAAAACCGACACAAAATTGCATAGATGAAGTTCTCCCAACCCTTCTGGGGTAAGACACAAAACGTTGATTTCTAGTGGATGAGATACTAAATAATAAGACCTTTCATCACTCTCATTGTTCTAGCATTTGTAGTTTTGTATATAAACCTGGGCACGGGCCGGGGTGGCCCGCGTGCCACCCGGCACGGCCCGACCTTCGACGGAGCATGGCACGGCCCGACCCGACCCCAGCCCGGCATGGCACGCCCACCGAATTTCGTGCCACGGACATCCCCTTCATTTTCCAGGCACGACCCGACACGAGCACAACTTAAGCACGGCGGGCTGGCCCGTCGTTCCGGCACGTGGCACGAGGTGAAGCACGGCCCGCAACACCAACGGTAGGCACGGCCCGCCAAGGCACGAACTTCGTGCCGGCCCGGCACGGCCCGCGTGCCGCCCCTATACAAACGGTAATATGACCGTTTCTTCTAACGGCCATAATTAGGCATAACGGCTAGTTTTTGGCCCAATTTTCACAAAAATCCCTCCCCAAACTCCCTATAAATACCCACTTACAATCACTTCCCAAATCACAAAATCACAATCTCTTCTTCTTATCTCTTAATCTCTTATGTTCTCTAAATCTCTAATAATCCTTATTTTCTTAAATTCTCTAATTATTCTCTTAAATTCTCTTATTATTTTCCTAATATCGGAAAAAATTAAAAAGTTCGTAATCGTAATTAGTGGAGCGTTGAAGCACGGTTATAAGATCTAAATTAATCTTTAATTTATTATTGTTTTATTGTTATTATTAGAGTAATCTTGTTTAATTATTATTGTTGTTAATTGTTATTGTTGTTATAATTGTTGTTATTAATTATTATTATTGTTATTATTTATTATTGTTGTTATTGTTATTGTTATAATTGTTGTTATTAATTATTATTATTGTTATTTTTATTGTTAAAATTGTTGTTATTAATTATTATTATTATTATTGTTAATCACTTTTTATTAAAAATCTAATTGTTAATTATGGCATCGAACAACCCATCATCTAGGGAGGGGGGGGGGAAGGGGAAAGGCCGACTTGGTCGTAGTAGTAGTTCTAGGGAACCACCTAATACAACGAGCCCCCAAATTCCAAGTCCAACCAATGACCCCGGTAACTTCCCCCCGGGCTATGAGCCATTTAGGCACGATGGTACTTCAGGTTTTCAACCCTATAATATGTCGGGATTTCCACCACCAAACCAATTTCCACCACCACCACCACCAAACCAATTTTCACCATCAAACCAATTTCAAAATCCACAACAATTCCCACAATTCGGTCAATTCCCACCTAATTATTTTGGTGATCAACAAAACTATTATTCTAGCCAAAGTAGCCAAGAAAGTACCCAAATTCCCTCCGGTTCTACCCCTTCTACTACTACTACTAACCCAAACACATATTATGAATGGTTAACCGAAAGTGAGATGGTACTTTTGAAAAACCGAAGGAGTGAGGTATGGCGTCATTTCCTCCTAAATAAACCCCACCAAACACATGCAAAATGTAAAACATGTAATGGTGTATTCTCGGCAATATCCAAATCCGGGACGGGACACTTAAGTCGACACATGAAAGCTTGTACACAACCAGCTAGTGATCCAACCGAGCCAAAAATTTCCCAGTTCCATCCATACGGCTTTACCTACAACTATGAGAGGGATAGGGATGAACTAGGAAAAATGATAGTACACGCCGAACAACCTTTTCTTTTCTCGGAAAGTGACCCATTTAACACTTACATTAACAAAGCACTACAACCCCAACATAAAAGAATCTCTAGGAAAACCGTTCGTTCCGCCGCCATGAAAAACTTTCTAGAGTACAAATTGCGGTTACAAGCCGAATTGAGGGACCTTAACTGTAGAGTGTCTTTGACAGCCAATGCTTGGGATAGTGGTTATAAATATCACTATTTATGTGTGACTTGCCATTGGGTAGATGATCAATGGTTGTTACAAAAAAGAATAATACATTTCAAAATGCTTGAATACCCACACACCGGCATTAACATTGCTCACCATTTAATGCAAGCAATAGACGAATACAACCTTCGAGATAAAATGATGTCTATGACTTTTGACAATGCAACCTCTATGACATACATAGCTAATCTTGTCAAACAAAACTTAACCGATGTAATATTAGACAGTGATGCTCTTCATACTAGATGTGTTTGCCATGTACTTAACCTATGTGTACAGGATGGAGTTTAGGCAATTGGCCCATATTACAACAAAATCAGAGATGTTATTATGTCTATTAATAGCTCAAACATGAGGTACCAAGAATGGAAGAGTTTTCTAAGACAACAAAAGATAAGGGCAATAAAAATCAAAACCGATTGCCCAACTAGGTGGAATTCCACCTATGACATGTTAACCAAGGCAATTGAGTACAAGGGCCCGTTAACACTATTTTACAACAAAAAATTTCCACAAACTGCTTTATATGATGATGATTGGTATAACTGTGAAAGATATATGCAATTTTTACAGTTATTATATAACTCTTTTTCTTCTGTTTACAATCCTTGTGCTCAAAACTTTCTTTCTAATGCATGTTTACTCGCCCAACTTTTCGCTGATCATCGCAACCAAAGTGATTATGATCAGTATCTTCCAGCAATGGAAACAAAGTGGCGTAAATATTATAGTGAAATTCCTTTGATTTATATTTTTGCATCCATATTAGATCCTAGGCAAAAGTATGAAAACACCTTTATGTTAGTTGACATTTATTTTCAATGCATGAATCTTGACGATGATGTAGAAACCTATAAGACTCATGTGAAGGATCAGTTTTTTGCTTTATATAGAGTCTATGAAATCAAATATGGCACCGTTCCTCGCAGGCCCTTCTCAACCATCCAAAAACGTAAGTAAGAAGGCTAAACATTTATTTTCACAAGCTACTAACTTGATTTCAAGGTTTTCAGGTGATTCATCAATCAGGAGAACGCAAAGCGACGTCTCGGAGTTGCAGATGTACCTGAGTTACGACTTCACCAAAGGCATGGACGACGATGAGATAAACAACCTCGACCTCCTTGCATGGTGGAAACAACAAAGCACGAAGCATCCAACTTTGGCGGCAATGGCACGAGACATTCTTGGTATCCAAGTCTCCTCTGTTGCCTCCGAACGAGCTTTCAGCGCATCCGGAAAGGTTCTGAACGATAGAAGAACAAGTCTAAAACCCGAAACACTAGAAATGTGCATGTGTTTCAAAGATTGGTTGGATGCGGAAAATCGCTTATAAGACCGTTCTTACGAGGACAACGACAACGATGAAGGAACCTCCGCTTCCGACCGTTCGGGTTCGGCTAGTTCCCAATCTATCCAACTAGCCGATGAAGCCGAAGCCGACGACGAAGACGAAGACGAGCAACAAGAAGAATAGACAATTTTGCAATATTGTACGATTTTAATCATTATCAATATTATTATTTTCCAATTTTTGTTTAATACCATCATTGTACGATTTTTATCATTGTTATCATTGTACAATTTTCTCAACTCAAGTAATAATAATATGAAGTACGCATTATTCACATCCAAAGTCCAATTTGCCTTTTGTCCCCGTTTTGTTATAATTTGTAAATTAATATTAAAAAAAAAAAAAAAAAATTATACCAATTAGGCAATTACTAATACAAAATTATATTTAATAAATCATAAACATTAAATTTTAAAGTAATAGTATAAAGTAAATATATAAATATAAATATTGAATATACAAAAGGACATAATGGACAATTTCAATTTTGCTACCACCAAAAGGCAGGCACCTCAGTTTTGCTACCCCTCCAATTTTTTTTTTTTTTTTATTATACTACCACCTAAATCACAGTTGTTAAAAATTGCTACCACTTAACGGAATGGGTTAGGATTCTGTTAGTTTAATAAAATAAAATAAAAAAATTAAATTAAATTAAAAAATAAAAAATAAAAAAAAAAACAATAACCCAGATTTCCGGCAGCCCCTACCACCCTCCCCCTACCCCATTCCGGCCACCAACTCCCTTCCCTTCCCGATTCCGGCCATCCCCTACATTCCCCACCCCGTTTCCGGCCATTCCCTCCCCTCCATTGCCCACCCCGTTTCCGGCCACCCCATCCCTTTTCCTCCCCGATTTCGTCCACCCTCCCTCCCCTAGCCCACCACCGAAATCACCTCCCTACCTAGCCATCGCCAAAAGCCCACCCCTTCCTCAGTCCCAAAATCCCACCACCTCCCCTTCTCCAGCCCAAAACCTCACCCAAAAACCGCATCTCTAACCCATAAACACCAACCCGAAACCAAATAGGTTTTAGGGTTTCGCTTATGGTGGTTTAGGGGTGGTGTTTATGGGTTAGGGGTGCCGGTTTTTGGGTGGGGGAAGGAGAGGTGGGGTCGATTCAGGGTGGGGGAAGGGGAGGGGGCCGATTCCGGTGGGGGGGATAGGGAGGGAGGGTGTTTTCTGGTTTCGGGTGGGTGTTGGGGCAGCGAGAAAGGGATAAGGGAGGGGGGTGGGTTGCGTTGGTGGGGAAAGGGATTGGGGTGGGGTCGCCGGCGCCGGCCAAAGGGCGCCGGTCGCCGGCAGGGGGGAGGGTGGCTGGGCAGTTGAGGATGGTGGGCTGCAAAGGTGGAGGAAAGGGAGGGGGGAGGGTGGCTGGGTTTTTCTTTTTTTTTTTTAAACATTTTATTTTTTTTTTGAATAAACTTAACGGAATCCGTTAACTTAACGGAATTCTAACGGATTCCGTTAAGTGGTAGCAATTTTTAACAACTGTGATTTAGGTGGTAGTATAATAAAAAAAAATAAAAATAAAAAAAAATAAAAAAAAAAAATTGGAGAGGTAGCAAAACTGAGGTGCATGCCTTTTGGTGGTAGCAAAATTGAAATTGTCCTGTACAAAATTATAAAACATAAATATTCAACTTAAATATACCTTATAATTTTATAACTTATAACTTATAAAACTTATAATTATAATTTTATAACTTATAAGTTATAATGATAATTTTATAACTTATAAGTTATAAATTTTTATAACTTATAAATTATAATTATAATTTTATATTTTTATAAATTATATACATTATAATATAAGTTATAATTTTATAACTTAAAAAAAAAAAAAAAAAAAAAAAAAAAAAAAAAAAATTAATCTGGAAACTGCCCTACTCGCCAGGCCACCACACAGGCCGGCACGTGGCAGGCACCGCACGAAGTTTTGGGCATGGCGGCACGACCGGCACGGCACGCCATTGACCGTGGCCCGCCCGACACGGCCCGTGGCAGCACGGTACGGCACGATGCCCACCTTTATTTGTATACCTGTAATAAATGAAGAGTACATATTCTTTGATGAAAGCTACTACCTCCATATCTGAAACTTCTTAACACACTCTATCTTCGTCCATTTAAGAATGTTTTAAAACTCACTTTATTCCATTTTTGGCAAACCCCTTTTACTGCCTTGCCTCTCTTACCCAACAATATTTACACCTTTCCACTCACATTTTCTTACTCTATCTACCTTATTCTTACACTCGCCCACCTATATATTTCTCTTTCTTTTTTTCAATTTTTCTTACACCTACTCACACATTAATAATTTCTCTCCAATAACCTTAATTTGTGTGTATACAATAAATGTTAAGAGCTTGCGGAAATCAAGATAGTATAACTTTTTAGTTACCTATAACCAAAAAAATAGCTCTTATTCAAAACATGTGTTTCCAGCATTCAGTTAAACATCAAAAAAAAGAGATATGAATTGCAAAAAAATAAATAAAATAAAAAAAATAAAAAAAAATACACCTAGAGGTTCAAAGTGGAATTTTCTAAGATATCACAAAAAGAGCATATACAAATGCATATTTGCACACTTGCAAGCTACATGATGAAATTATAATTCACCCATCCTACTTCACAAGTAGAGGAGAAACTAAATTGCAATTGCTATGTTGTTCAAGTTTAGAGAAACCAGTCAAGTAAAGGATGTTTCACCAGGTGCAAATAGGTCGTGAATAGTTAATAAATACTAGCACACAATAGATATCTCTGTCAATGAATTAAGCCAAGAGATAAAATTGCACTGCACCTGCTTTGTAAGTTGTACTTTAGTAGATATACAGATGCAAATCTATGTGTTTCAGACTCAGTTCGCACATAATCAATATAAACATAGACATTTGTGCACTCGTGAAAAAGTGGCAAAAGATTAAATACCAGCCTCAAAAGCATAGTCACTAGTCATTCGGTCCTTCACAACAGCTACAGTAAGCCCAGCATTAGTCGTAGCATTTCCACAGACATAGATACCACGTGGAGAAACAGCAGCTGCAGCTTGAAGTAATTGGCTCTTTCCCAATCCAGGATCACCTGAGTGTGCAAAAATTAGTTTTAGATCCTATAGTCCTATGTAGTAGTCTGAAGCTTCATATCAATGACCAAAAATGAAGTGTAGAAACAGATTATTCTCAACTCTCAAATCCAAAGATAGGGATAAGCAGCCTTGCGTACCAACTATAATCACATGAATGTCTCCTCTGACAGGAACCTTATTCTGATCCATGGAATGTTTGCGTACTCCACCAAAGAGCGCCAAAGTTATTCCCGCTGTACAGAAAACAGCCAATGTACTGTGATTACACATGGAACCAAGTGTTGTACAGAGGGCTACCTTTCCAGAAAAAAAGAATAAAAAGCCATGCACAGAGAATGAAGTACAAAGTCCATCCACAGGACCTTATGTATATGGCACTTGTTAGAGTAAACTGAGTACTTGCGAATCTAGAGACCATATAGCAAATACTAAGGTGCTACCTGCGGAAAATGGACCAATAAAACTTTACAACTGACATGACTAATACAAAATCCATAACACAACGACCATACTCTATAAGCGGCATCACAATATTGTACGCTTCTGTAGGAACAATACTGCAATCACAATCACGAATTAAATAATGGAGTTGGGTTGGGGGTGTTATCATCTACCTTCATACTCTAAAGACATTCTTCCCCCCAACTGGAGGTCACAGTTTTCTCTAACTTAAGGCCTTTTATTATACTAGATATTGTAAACAAGAATTATCTAATCAAAGTATCTGTCCTTCTGCCATATACATGTGCCAGAAATCATTTTCTCATGACAAGGAAAAAGAATTGAAACATGCCTACAAGTGGGGAAAAAAAAAAATTAAGACTGATCACACGTGTCATTTCATCAATGTCTGCTTCCTCAACCAGTTCAAAAAGATTATCTATCAGTGAAAATTTATGATGGACAGTCTATTTTGGATAAAAGACAACCCTATCAGTAAACTCAATCCTTATTCTATACGGAAAGCCTCTCTTATAGTAAAATGAATGATAAATTTTGGTTACAATTTCTAATTTTTTATTTAGACATGAATTCTCTTGAAGAGCCAATCACCTTGCTATTAGATCAATTGGATTTCAATTTGGGCTACCAAAGGCAAAGATGGGTCACAAACATCAGTTGGGAAGAAGATGGGCCAAAACAGCCACCTTTTGGAAAAATGAGCCATGCGCTAAATATAAGCCCAAGTGCCAACCAACTAGGTCTAGTGGATCTAGACTACACAATGGCATGTGCCACGCACCAGCTCGAGCTGCTTGGTGGGCTTGGTCTTAGTTCATTTTGTTAAATTCAGGTTTGCTTTCATTTTTGCTAGTTAATGTTTACCATAGCCCTCAAGGCTTTGGGTTATACATGATACGTTTAACGCGGGTAGTATCCTTATGACACGTATTCAGCTTGAAGTAGGATTAGTTTACATGGTAGTATGCTGGCCTTTGCTCTACAAATACATTTTTTTTAGCAAACAAATCAGCTACAAAGTTTTTAATTTATTTTGATGTTTTGCATTGTTTGTGAGTTAATCAAACTTACTTACAATGATATTAAATAAAATGGTTTTAGAGTTACTGTTCAAACAACCTAGTTCTGGGAGTAAGCTATGTCATTTGAGATTCAAGCATTAAGATCAAGAGTGTTCGTATATCGAGAAAAACTGGTTAATATAAATCAAAACTTAAAGAAACTCTTATAGATCAAATCTAATTTCTATAAATGTGTGGATTCTTTTAAACTTCACCAAAATAGGGATAAGCACCAACATCAGTAATTAAAGAAACATAGTTTCATTAGGCCCAATAAATGAAGTGCCCTTTTTAATTGGATATAGCTTATAAATATTGACCATAGATATTAGTTATTTGTACTTATGTGCCCTTTAAGACTTTGTTTCTTTCATCTGATTTTGTCTAAATTATATAACATATGTCAATTTATCTAAACTTACTTGAACTTTATTTATTTTAAACTTATATGTATGAGCTTATTTTGTACTTATTTTTTCTAAACTTATCTTTTTCTAAACTTATTTTACCTGAAACTATTTTGTTTGAAATTTGATAATAAAAGTTAAAATAAGATGAAACAAACAGGACCTTATGTAAAAAAAAATGTTTTTCTTTTTCATTTACACTTGAGGCATTCTGAAAGAATCAACATAATTGCAAGAAAAAGCGCCTTTGCATCATGGAGGGAGTCACAGCTTGCAATTGATTTCCCCCAAAATACCCTGACAAAGTTATTTAGCTTGAATATTGATTAGTGTAAAAATGATCATAACAGAAGGGTCTTCTAGTAATTATGTTCTATATTTTTAATCATAAGTGTTGGTACAAAATGTGGCAACTGTTTCAAATGGAAGAAGTATTTTTTCCAAATATTTTGAGCTTACTCTATACTATATACTTCTAAAGCTTCACACTTTCAATCCTTGAGGTTTGGGGAAATTTAGTTTCCTGCAGCACCTTGTCAGTACAGCAATACATAATTGGGAGTTGGGACTGGAGATCTCTCCAGTCTACCACAGCACCTTGTCAGTACAGCAATGCATAATTGGGACTGGAGATCTGTCCGGTCCACAATCAGAGCAAATACAGCACCTAGCCTACCCTGGCTTGGAACGTGTAAAAGCCCTTATTTTCCCCTCTTACAAATAATAATTGCCTAAGCATACTCGAGCTGTCATTTTCCAACAATGTAGCAACTTTAATACTTCCTCCATTCTTTTTTTGTTGACACGATTCTTTTATCACGTTTGCCAATGCACAAGTTTCACAATTAATATCTCTAGTCATCAATAAGTAAAATAATATAACATGTTAACATTATGAAAATATTCCTTGAGACAACTCTAACATCCCACATGAATATATTTTTTTTATCATAATTAAAGATAGTCAAAGTAGAGTTTGTGAATAGTGTCAATAGTCAAAATGTCAAGTAAATAAGAACCGATGCAAGGCCTTAAAATGGGAGCTTATGTTTTAGCAGGCAGTACACTTTCTATAACCAATACAATTGAAAAAAAATAAATAAATAAATAAATAAATAAAATAAACTGCTATTCGTGAGAACATAGGAATGGATATGTAGTCTTTACTCTAAAGACAAGCAGTTGATTTCTGTTGATTTAACAAATACTTGGATACTTTAACTCTACCATGCCAACATTGAATTTGAAAAGATGGAAAAAAAATGCATTGCAGTTCTTCAACACATAAGATAGGAGTGGAAACTCACCCTTGACAAGTTCATGACCATATATTGATGGGCAGATAGACTGAATCATTTGGCGGAAGACATCAGGACCATGCTCCTCTCTAAACTTCACAATAAATTCCAAATCCCTCGGAGAAAATGAATATAAGTCAGACATCTCAGCTCTAGCATCAGCAGTAGGATATTCAGAATCTTCTGGGATGGTCTGTGATTTGGAGTTTGTTACAGAGACAGATTCCATATATAAATAGTACAATCCTTGATACTTGCTTTTTGATTTACCTGAAACAATTTAAACTGAAGAAGCTATATAACAGTGGTTGAATTTTGTACTGATAAGCAATGAAATATAAAGAACTAAATTTGTTCAAGTAAAATAAAGAGCCTTTTGCTATAATTGTTGCCAAGTTCCACTGAGCATGTTTAATATAAAAAAAATAATAATAAAAAAAAAAGGCCATATAGAACGATAATCAAAGCTGAACTATACCTCAATCTAACTATCTTAGATTTTAACTGAAAATGAGTCCGATAGACAAAGACATGAAATCAGGGTCCAGTCTCTATTAATTGGAAACTAATGTTGATAATGTGCTATTGATTAAATCAAGCCAAACTCTAGCTAAAACTCAAATTTGAGCAAAGAAATATGACCAATTAAAGACATAATACATGAATATAACAACTATGACCAAGCTGATTAGCAGATTAGCTAGTAGAATCTGTAAAAGGGACACCCACAAAGTGCACACACACGCCAATAACTTGCTCTTAGGTTCATGCATATTCTTAGCACTACCTCCTCCAAGGTCCATGTAATTGTTAATTTGCCTTATAATTCCAGTTACTGTCACCACGTCGCCAGGAATACAAACATCAACAAGATCTTCAGTAAGTTCACATTCGACTGTCCGAGGAACCCGGCCTTCTTCGTGATTTTCAGATTTCAAAAGCTCCTGCAATCTAAAGAACATAACACGTCAGAATACAACACTAAACTCCCTATATTCATATATAGATGTCAACATTTTCTTTAGGGTGTCCCAAAACAATACGGACTTGCAAACAGCTACTATTTGCAAGCTTCCCATATTTTCCTTCATTTCATAAGAAACAAAGGACAAGACAGATGATTAAATCACTACTAACACAGTTTAAGACAGAGTCAACTCTTTCTCTTGAACATCATAATGAAATTCTATGTGAACATCAATTAAGTTTATATATAATCACCTCTATGGTTACAAGAAACAGTTCTTTGCATCTAGAGGAATGTATCTATCTATAATTTTGTCACAGAGGAAAAACAATATCAAGCAGGACAAGACTTGCCTTATCTTCTGAAAATCAATGGACTGTGCAGTAGACCTAATTGGTGCAAATGTTTTGCCTTTGCAACATCGCATAATACATGTTGCTGGTGGAGAGTATTTCCCATCAGGAAAGAAACGCATGATATCTGCTCCACACTGGATGCATTTAAAAGTCATCTGCATTACCAGTGGTTTAACAGTGCTGACCTTCACAACAGTACCACGCACAGATACCAGCCTGTCTACCATACCCAGATACAATTATCAATTTTTTTTCTGCCTGAACCAGATTGAAATTTCAAGAAATTTTAAAAAACTTTTAGGACAAAGCATTGAATCAAATTTGATTAAAACTACCAATATAAGCTGCTTTAAGGTTCTTCAAAGCAATCAATGAGTCAGGGTGATTATGAAGCCGGATATTTATCTTCCCATGAGAGTCTAACTTGCTTTTCTCCTGAAAAGATGAAACCTGCACCAGTAGAAGAGTTTACCAATCATGCGCTCAGTGTATTTTCAAATGTGAGAAATGGAATAGGCTAATCAAATAGCTTTAATCACTGCATGATATACCTTATGAATGGCAGCACCCATGCATAGAAGAGCTTCTTTGGGGTATTCTTCCAAATTAACAAAGAAACACTCAAGGTCACATATCTTTCTGAACTCTTGATAGTTGAGTGTTAAGGAAAATGCGTCATCTTCATGCTTTACCTGTACAAAGCATTTTCTTCATCAAAGCTCTTTGATAATTAAGAAACGAAAGACAAAATAAACAAGTCAACATTTACAAAATTCATGTCAATTCTTTATTACAGCTTTTACGCAACAAGGAGAAACATTAAGAGGATCAGTGAATGCGCTTATAAGAGGGAAAAGTAGTAAGGATGCCAATACAGGAGGCAAATATTTTCTTGTGATCATTAACCTAGAAAGCTTTACATTTGAAGTTCAGATATTGTAGATCTCAAGTTATGCAAGATGATGGACGATACAGGTGTCAACTCAAAGTATTGGAAAACGCAGAAAAGATGGACAAAGAAAGATGGTTGAAAAAACTGATTAATATATGGATCTACCCATATGACAAATCCCATTAATTCTAATTGAACGGAGATTTCAAGTGAGCTTTTGATTCACAGATCACAGGACTGTCAAATCTTTCAAAATGTTCAATGACTAACTGCACTCATCCTACATGCTGAGTTCTGTGTCCGAATGGGTAAGAGACATGATGATAAGAACTTATATCATTAATGAATAACACTTTTCCTACATGCTGCTAAAATATTAAACCTTATTGAACTTTTAACAAATTGCAGCAAGAAAATCTACAACTTGCGATTTGGATAAAATCATTTTAACTCAACCAAATCATGTTTTAGTCATACAGAATAAGCTCAACTCTCTCATAAACATCAAAACACGAAAGAAGAATCTGGGGATAGATACCAATCAACATGAAACTGAATTTTAATTATCAAGAAAGAATTCTTCGATTGTGTTGCCTGTCAGCTCTATTAGACGGAAACCATCTACATAAATGTTTTGGAACATCAGAATCATACCTATCATTTAAAAGTGCTCGTATTCAACCAAACCCTTACCCCGATGAGATCTCGACATCTTATTACCTTTTACATGATATTTTATCACAATCACAACTATATTTAGACCTTCAGCAAACTAAAATTCCCAATTCTATAGAGGCTTGATTCACACAAATCAACCGCAATTACATGTCTAATAATGAGCAAAAATACACAGCCAATATCTGAAAATAATTTTACCATTCCATTTCTCATATGATATGATATGATATGATATGATAAATGATCAAATTGATAAGTATATCAATAATTCACTGAGAATTAAACTTAAAAAGAAACAACTAATATTACCCTCAAAAATATGTTTCGAGAAAGCTGAAAATTACAATATTGATGAAGCAAGTAATTAGGGCAAAATCTAAAAATTATAATTCAAATGCAAAATTGTGAAAAATTGTAAAGAATAGACGGACGGAAAAGGTACCTGAGAAACGAAACGTTGGCCGCGAGGAGTAGCGAAGAAGCAAACAAGCTTAGAGATGAGAAGGTATTTCCAATCTTGAAAGGAGAGCTCAATTTGGGGGAAATATAAAGGCCATATTTGCAGGAGATCACAATACGACTCTTCTGAGGAAGGCCTTTGCGGCATGTTCATCATTACGCCTTCGCCCGTTGCCGTTGCGAACTTGCGACTTTCACTATCTCCAAATGGGTATGAGCAGTGAGTCTCTGTTGAGTAGCGTAACTGACTGAGTGACTACCGAGCTCCACTCTTTTTTTTTTGGCGGGAAATGTAAAACTTACAACATCCTTATTCATGAACTTAAAAAAAATTATTCAAATTATAATTCACAAAAAATAAAAATACTTTCTCTCATATACTGATATATACCAACCAAATAAATAATTTCCAACATCCTCTTCTTAACAACGAATCAAAAAAAAAATTGTTGATGTTACTATTCACCTACCCCACCTTAATTTATCTTTTAATAAAAATTAAAATACATACATAATTACAATATATTAATCTCATGTGATATGTAATTGATTATTATTATCGTTACTATTATCGAAATTAATTACGCTTAATATTAGGTAATTACGATTAGCATTAATTGCGTCCAAAATTAGCCACAACTATCGTAATTAGCATTGTTAATTTTTTACGATTAGCGTTATTAATTTTTTTACGATTAGCGTTATTAATTAATTCGTTATTTTAAATGCGGGATACAAATTTTTTTATTAATTGCAAATTTGAAAAAATAAATAAATAAATAAAACCAAGTGCATCAGACATAACACATGTTTAACCGTTAATAGAATTGAAATCTAATTGTTATTGTTCTCATTACGCCTAAATTTCCTCTAAATGTGCTCAGCCAAATCGTGTTTTAATTGCAAGTGAGCTTGTTGATCTTCAATCTCTATTCTTCATTGCAAATGTATGTTGATGTCTACCACACGCTCATTACAATACTCGAAAGCATCCTTGTTCGAATCACACACTTTGGTTGTCAATGAAGTGAAACGTGTCGGAGTTGTTCAAATACGTATCTCGCTCATTTTCAACGATCATGTTGTGCAATATGATGCACAATAACATAATCTTGTGAAGTATTTGAACATCCCAAGCAAGAGACGCTTTTCGAATTATAGCGAAATGAGATTGTAGAACTCCAAAAACTCGCTCAACATCTTTCCTTGCTGCTTCTTGATGTTGTGCAAACAATTTATGTTTCTAAGTTAAGGGACTAGTGATAGACTTCACAAAAGTAACTCACTTGGGATAAATACCGTCAGTAAGGTAATACTCCTTGTTATATTGATGACCATTAACAACAAAACTCATAGGAGGAGTATGCCCCTCCAACTAACACATCCTCAAACACAGGAGATCGGCGTAGCACGTTTAAGTCATTGTAAGTACCTCACATGTCAAATCCATAAGTCTCGATCAGCAACAACCTCTAGTATAAGAGTGGCTACCCCTTTTCTGCCTTGATACTGTCCTTTCCATGCCGTCGGACAATTTTTCCACTCCTAGTGCATGCAATCAATGCTTCCAATCATACCTTGAAATCAACATTCCTCTCCGATTCGTAGCAGCCTTTCCATATCATTACCATTTGGTCGTCTCAAAATGATCACCGAATTGGTTGATGACACCTTCGGTAAACTTTTCTTATGCCTTCTTTGCATTACTTTCGCTTATTCTTATGTACTTGTCACAAGCGTTGGTGGCTAAACTATAAGACAAGCTGCCTAATTGCTGCAGTGCACTTTTGTAGTGGAGACAAGTCTAGACGCCCAGTAGCATTTCTCCTTTGTTGGAACCATGTATCATTTTATGTTACTCCATACATAACACGTTCAAACACATGCTTGTGCATTTGGAATCTACGTCGGAAAAGGTCTCTTGGGTAGGCTGGAACTTCTGCAGAGTAATCATTGTACAACCGCACATAACCTTCTTCACGCCGTCTACCACCGCGAGGAACATATTTTCGTGAAATTAAATAAAATTTTATGTAGATTTGACTACTCGATGGATTCTGAAAAGTCATCACATATAATAAATGGATTCTGAAAAGTCATCAAATTGAGTCTAAAAAGTGTTAATAGACTCTGGAAAAAGTATTCAAATAGAGTCATCAATTAAGTGGATTCTAAAAAGCATCATTTACTATTGGATTTTGAAAAGTTAGATGTATAGTAAGATTCTGAAGGTATTGACAAATCACAAGAACAATGTTTCACACATAAAACGACAAATTTTTAAACTTTGTTGCATGGTTGCAATACTATTCATTACACAAACATTACCGATTGGAAAGTTAGACACATTAAACTAAACATAACGCTACTAAAACCCAACAAGAAAGTGAAAACATTGAATGAAAAAAATACTTAAAACACAACACTAACACATTGCAACCTATTCCATAACATAACATTAAAATGCCCTAAATTTGCTAAGGTATTCTTAGAGTTCGATGATCATCTGATCTTCCCATGGGGCACGAACTTCTTTGGCACACAATTATTGGAGCATGTCCCAATTCATTTTATATTGCAGCATCTGAATGTTTTTCTCCTCTAGTTCGATTTGCTTTTGCTTTCTAGCTTTTTTCTTCTTCTCCAATTCCAGCCTCTCCAAATCTCTATTAACAGCCTTATCACTCATCTTGTCGTACAGTTTAAGTTTGTCACTTCTGATTAGGGGATTTTTCCCCACCAATCACCATCTGACAAGTGGACCAATCAGGTTCCGCCATGTGTCCGTCACATGGGCCAATAGGAGCCTGCCACGTGTCAAGCAATGATCCGTCCACTATGGACCAATTACGACACGAAACGTGTCCTTCCCATGACACCTGGGATAACCGGTCACCTAGGCCCAACTTCCGAGGGAAGCCCAATCAGCCCAAGGTTAACCTAAACCTAGATTGACACGTTTCCCGAGGTTATAAATACCTCCCTTAATCCCCATTAAGGGAGATAACGCTAAAAACGCAGATTACACACATTAAACACTCTCACCTAGAGAGACCCAATCACTTTAATTTCCGCATTAATTACTCCTTAATCAAGTACTAACTTGACCGTCGGAGGCGGATCTCCAATCATCCGGAGCATCCGTTTGTTTTGCAGGTACAGGCGTCCGGTTCCAGTCTCGGAATTGTAACTCTCCTGCAAGACAACCAACCCTGAATAATTCCAAGGCTGTTATAATCTCATCTCTTATGTTGCTCAAGTTTGAGAGGGATAATGGAACTGTCGGGTCCCTAAGGGGAGATCAGAGGATGGCCCGAGAGTGCTATCTCTCGGATGTCAAGCCCACTGTTATGGCCACTGGGTCGAGTGGTGGAAAAATAGACCTTGACAATGTCAAGGAGAGTGCGCCTGTTCAAGAAGCAGGCGGCAAGAAGAGAAAGGCATCCCAGACAGGGGCCGCAAGAAAAGACAGAAAATAGCAATCATTGGCAGAGGAGCGGTCGGATGAATTCCGCCCTCAGCCGGCTGGTGAGCATACGGACTTGATCTTAGACGATTCACGTCCTGAGCGAACAGTCAAAGTTGGGACGACTGCTCTGAGAGTCCTGGGTGACGACTTTCACAAACTATTGAAAGAATACAAGGACATCTTTGCATTCGAAGTTCATGAAATGCCAGGCATTAGTCCTGATCTGGCGGTACATAAACTGGCCGTGGATCCGAAAAAGAAGCCGGTACGGCAGAAGAAGCGGAACCATGGCGAAGAAAGAAGTCAGGCGGCAGCCGCCGAAGTTAAAAAATTACTTGATGCAGGGTTCATTCGGCAATGTTACTTCCCAGACTGGGTTGCAAATCTGGTGCTTGTTAAAAAGCCGAATGGCACCTGGCGAATGTGTGTAGACTACACAGACTTAAACAAGGCGTGCCCCAAAGACAGTTACCCTCTGCCTAAAATTGATAACCTGGTCGACTCAACAGCCGGCCATGCTTTGATGAGCTTTATGGACGCCTACTCTGGTTTCCATCAAATTCCTTTATGGAAGAAAGATCAGGAGAAGACGGCCTTCGTCACTGATCAGGGGTTATACTGTTGCACGGTCATGCCGTTTGGTCTTAAGAATGCCCGGGCCACTTTCCAGCTAATGATAAACACTGTGTTCTTTGATCAAATTGGGAGAAATGTCGAGGCATATATTGATGATATGATTGTCAAGTCTAAGCTTCAGAAAGATCATCTGTCTGACCTCCGAGAAACTTTCGCCACACTCAGGCGGCACCATGTCATGCTCAATCCCAAGAAATGTGTATTTGGAGTTGAGTCTGGGAAATTTCTCGGATTCCTCATCAATCAGAGAGGAATAGAGGCGAACCCTGAGAAGGTGCAGGCGGTCATTGACATGCAGTCGCCTCGTACCATCCGAGAGGTTCAGAAGTTAAAAGGTTGTCTGGCGGCGTTGGGAAGATTTCTAAGCCGATCAGGCGACAAATGCCTATACTTTTCCAGGCAATTAAGAAAAAGGCAAGGTTTGAATGGGGGCCGGATGCTGAGGCGGTCTTCCAGAAATTGACAGTTCACTTGCATTCCTTGCCGAGGCTGGTCAGCCCTTTGCCCAAAGAAGTACTCTACATGTACCTGGCCGTCTCTGATCATGCGTTAAGCGCTGTTCTCCTTGCTGAAAGAGACGGCTGTCAGCTCCCGGTCTACTTTGTCAGCCATGTACTGAAAAATGCCGAGTTGAGGTATCCCTTAGTGGAGAAATTTGGTCTTGCACTCTTCATGGCTGTTAAAAAATTGAAGCCCTACTTTTTGGCACATGCAATCGTCGTGTATACAGACCAACCTATCAAGCGGCCACTGACCATCATGGAGTCGTCAGGCCGAATGATCAAATGGGCCATAGAAATACGGAGCCTCGAAGTTACTTTCGAGCCTAGAAAAGCAGTGAAGGGGCAAGCCTTTGCTGACTTTATTGTTGAGATGACTCGTCCTCCTGACTCTCAAGTTACAGACCAAGTCTGAAAGGTATATGTGGACGGAAGCTCTACTTCAAATGGTTGTGGAGCAGGCGTCATATGTCAGTCGCCAGAGGGCGACAGGTACGAGTATGCTCTACGCTTCAGTTTTCAGGCCTCAAACAATGAGGCAGAATATGAAGCTTTACTAGCCGGAATCCGCATGTGCAAGGCGGCAGGGGCAAGAAAAATAGACGCCTGTTCCGATTCACAATTGATAGTGAGTCAGTACAATGGCGAATACGAAGCAACCCATCCGACCATGATCAAGTATTTACAGGCGGTCCGACAAGCAGTCGGCTCCCTTGAGGATTTCCATCTGACCCAAGTGCCGAGATCAGAAAACAACCAGGCGGATGCACTTTCAAAATTAGCATCATCCGCCTCCTATGATACTCCTCGAACTGTTTTTTGGGAAGTAATGGAGAGGAGAAACATTGAGGAAGAACCTATT